GCGGGCCAAGCTCTCCCCACCGATTCATCGAAGCCACCGAAGCCACCTTCGGAACAGCTTTCACAGCAGGAGGAGCAACCACTGGCGCAACTTCTGGCACAACCGATGCTGACGGCTTGGCCATGAATCTCGGTGCCAGCTTTGGTCTCGATGTCACGGAGGATGTGGGCGTCGGTACCGGAGGTTGTACCACATATTTGCCAACTGGATGATGCTCCGTGCCAACTGTAGTGGATACGAACATCTGTCGTGGAGGCTCCGGTGGAAATGGATAACCATGAGCTTGCGGCATCGACACCGAAGGGTGCTTTGGTCGGCTTCCATGTTTGGTCGCAGGATCGTAGCGTGGAGGTGCTGGACCGGCAATGTTGACTTTCAAAGCCCTCTTCGTAAGACCTGTAATGGTCTTGCCGCGAAGTGCAAGCTGGATCGCCACTGAATCAGCAGCGGAGCTCAGGTTGAAAAAGGTACACATCTGGTCTGATGACCCCTGACCTGAGGCAAGAACATGATCGGCAAGACGCATCTCAAGCGCAAGAACTGACAAGAACACCAGGTGGCAAGAACAAAACATGTGGCAAGAGCTACAGGCGGCAAGAACAGGATATCCCCTTTGAGTGGCGCCTGTCAAGAACATGCAGCATCTCAGTTACAAAAATATTTCAAGAACATCACAAGCGCAAAGAAGCTGAATCTCTTGAATCACAGATGTTATATCAAAGCATCACCGTGTCAACTGCAACAAACTCTAGCAACGCAAGTGGCAAGAACATGGTGATATGTTCATCTCAAGAACATCACAGGTGGCAAGATCACGAAGCCTCTTTTAACGTCAAGCGTCTACCAATCTTGATATCATTCGGAATCGGCAAATCGTTGGCCGCCAAATAGTCATAGATCTCCTCAGTGGGTACATAAACAAATCGACTGTGGAGGAACTATTATGTTCAGCAAGAACTATGTTAAGCAAGAACATCGCAAGATTGACTGTGCAAAAGAACGCAGTTTCAAAATAAATCTCCACTGTACTTGACTAGAATCTTGCCGGGTGATACCCATCTTCCATCCACCAATATACAAGCGCTGAGGCTAAGCAGCCATTGCAAGAACAACAACTAGTAGAGGAAGCACACTAAACTCAAAAACCAAAACAACGTATACATGTGCAAAATGTGAATGTACACATGGACTGTGCATTTGCAGCGCTTGGGCATTCAAATCTTGCAGTATTTCAATACATCCAAGCAAGAATCTTCAAAGCTGATTCCAAATGGTAAACTCAAGAACATCTCAAACGCACAGCTCAAATCTAGCAGCATTGCAAACACTTCACAGCAAGAAAGCAAGACATCAAAAACACGTTTGCAAGAATGTTCGCATGTTCGGTGTACACTTCACAGCAAGAAAGCAAGACATCAAAAACACATGTTTGCAAGAATGTTCGCGTGTTCGGTGTACAAGAACCTGTGCAAGAACTTCTGGAACATAATCTGGGTGTGGCGTTTGCAAGATGCGCAAGAAATATATTTCCGCGAAAGCTTTTGTGCTAGCTTGAAACCAATGAAGCTGCCTCTACACTTACACATTTGCATACAAATCTACCACTCAATCCTCAAGAAGACCTTGTGCCTCAGCCTCTCGCACAGCAGCAGCACCAGCGGAACGGGCAGCATCCTTCGCAGTTTCGAGGTCAGCGCCTCCCTTGAGTTGTGCATTTTTTCCTTGTTGTAGGCCCTGCTGTGGACGTTCTTCCGGAACATCAGCTTAGTGGGCGGTTCATCACCTCGTTCATCGCCATCATCAGCATGACCAACTGCTCCTTCACCAGGAACTTCATTAGGTCATGAGAGTTGGTTGGAGGGAGAGAGGATGGTGGACACTTGATGGCTGGCCTCTTCATGGGCCCTGCCTTCGACTTTGGCACTGCCTTCTTTGGGATGTGGCCCTCTGCTTCATAAAGCAACTTCTCATCTAGGTTCAACTTGCGCTTCACAGGTGATGGGGGTCCCAACTCAAGTCGGCTCATGCGAAAGGATGCCGAACTTCCGGTGAATCTGCCCTGAGGCTCTGTTTTCGATGCATCGGGGCTGAAGCCAACAGAATTGGACGAAGTTGGACCTTTTGTAGGTGTAGCTGGGGCAGCATGAGGTAAAGGCTGAAGCTGATTGCTGCTGATCTTCTCAAATTCAGAGATGTCAAAGTCCTGTGCATCCTGGAGAGGGAGGGCGAGATCACTGCGAGAACCACCACCGTCTGCTGCCGCCCAAGCAGTGGCATCTTCTTCACCATCACTGACCCCTCCATCATAATCCGTTGGAAGGATCAATCGCTCCAACACAAGTTTGATCTTGTTGGAATCCGGGCTACCAATCCTCCTCAGAACTTGATCTCTCTTAAGCAGGTCATACTTTAAAGATCGAAACATCCCCATAGCGATTCGAATCAGGAGGTCCGAGTTGTCAATGAAGGATTTGTTCTCTCGCTCGGTTGTGTTTCTGACTTCACCAAGGTCAAGAAGCTTTTGCAAAGCTTCCCTGATTTTTTTCCCTGCAAGTTTAGAGTTTGGGGCAATGGCAGCCAAGTCGTAGCAAAGGTTCGCCATTTTCACCATGTACTCTGGGTCTGGTTGAGACTTCCAGGTGAGCTTCACAAATTTTCCTGGAGAGATCAAAGCATGCAGGTCACTAGTTTCTTTGTAGGTGAGGAAGTTTCTCAGCACGTTCTGAATGTCTCGGACTCCAGTGCTGCTGTCTGCGACCAATCGTGATTTGCCGGCACGTTCTTTCAGTTTTGTTTTGGCAGCATTGCTTTGCTGCTCCAAGGCAACATCTAGACTGGACATACTTGGTGCGGGGCACCAGACTAGACCAATACACTTGTGACTTGAACTTGAAACGCTTTCCAAGTTCCACACAAGTTGCAAGAACCTATATCAACTAAAAACATGCAAGACCAAAAGCCTCAACAGCAAGACATGCATGCTGGACACTGCAATGCAAACTGCTACACAATGCCTTGAATGCTTTCGTTCTATGTCAACAAGACAAAACACGCAAGACCTGATGCCATCACAAATAGAGCTGAGATGCCATAACAAGTAGAGCTGCGCACATAGAAAGCAGCAAGAGCAGCCAGAACTTTTTGCTTGATGTTGTAGTCGAAGCAAGCGTTTCACAGCTCGCAGTTGTAGGGCCTATAGCGCAAGAACACATAAAGCAAGAACGTTTCAGGCAAGAACGATGCTGCGACATGAAGTTGTTTTGTGTGATTGTTTCACTGCGTGGTCGTTCTTTTGCACCGCAAAAACAAAAGAAGCAAAGGAAAACACAGAAACCAAATAAACAAAGAAAACAATAAAGGAAAAGAAGACAGACACCAACAAAATAGTAAAGCAACCATAAAAAGAGAACATTATAGACACAAAAAGAAAGTGGAAGGAAGTGAGAAAGGAACAAAGGAAGAAAGGAGCAGCGACAGAAAGGAAAAGAAAGGAACAAAGGAAGAAAGGAGCAGCGACAGAAAGGAAAAGAAATGAAAAAAACAAAGGAAGCGCAAGCAAAAGCAAGGAAGGAAGAAGAACGACGTAAGACGCGAAAAGGAAAAGGAAGAAAGGAGAAACGGCAGAAAGACAAAGAAAGAACAAGAGGAAAGACATTGAAAAAATGAAGAAAGGCAAGGGCAAGGAAGGAAAAAATGGTACAACAGCAAGAAAGGGTGCAAATTAACGGATAAGGATAAGCAAAAGGAAAGGATAAGGAAAACATAAAGGGAAAGGAACAGCAAAGGGAAAGG